TCTGCCGGTTGCTCTTTGCTCGCCTCCGATATGAGAGGCGGATATTCTTTTCGGGCCGACGGTGTGAAAGCCCGCAAGGAATTTGTCTGCCGGCGACTCTATTTCACTTTTTGCAGGGGTTGTCGGTGGCGGGCGCGTTTCAGATTTGCGCTCTCGGCGGCAGGGCTCACTCGGTCCCTGACTCTCCCCGCCGAGGGCTTGTCATTGAACGAAATAGTTGAGCTCGCAACCAAATTGTACAAGAAGCGGAACAAGCGGCCCCCACAAACACGCCGCGCCGTCGCTTTCTCAAATTGCCGTGAGCGTTTCGCCAAGTGTCAAATCATTGCCGCGCGGGTGTTTTTCACAACCCCCAAAGACATCTGCCGTCCAGCGTGTCGGTTTGAGACGCTAATCTCGAGTGAATTTATGGGAACGGGACGGATTCAAAGACTGGATTTCTGAATATCGGGTTGTGAAAAGGAAAATGGATCCCATTCAATTCATTGGCATGTGTTTTGTTTTTGTTTTTTTGGCACCAATTGCATCACGAAGGTCTTTGCTCTCACTGTCCTTTTGTCCCGCCAGCAGGCGGCGTCCGGCATCCCGAGGGAGCGCCGTTACCACTCCGACGTGCCCACGGCCACGCGGGGGCTTCTGCAGCTTTACCGTCAAGATGCCCCCGAGGACCTGGGACCCAAAGCCGTGAGTCCAAAAACGAGCGTGGCGTTCTATTTGATCCGTTCATCCAAGTGGATTCGTTTTCCCCCTTCCTGTCTGGGACGGACGGTTGGCACAGCAGAAAAAAATGGCCCACTTTGGATGCGTACTCCTTGATTTGCTCGTGCTCACGTCACGTCATGTGTCCCCCCCATGGCCGTCCGTGCACTTGGCGTGCGTCAGATGAAGGAGAAGATGAAGGAGGAAGCGTGGAACATCCACTTCTCGGAGTTTGGCCGCGGAGTCTGCATGTACAGGACGTCCAGAAGCCGAGAACTGGTGCTCGGCGGCATTCCCGAGAAGCTTCGAGGAGAACTCTGGTTGCTCTTCTCAGGTAGGCCCTTAGCCAGGTCCTCCTTTATTTTCTCTTGGACGACTTGGCGTGCAGTTCGGTTCTTTTCCCTCCTCGTTCCTTCTTGTTTCTCTTCCTCCTCCTCCTCCTTCACCGCCTTGCTCTCCTTCGCTTTTGCTTCCTCCCCCCGCCCGTTCCCTTTTTCTTCTGTCTGTCCCCCCCGCCGCTGCTTCCTCATCACATCACGAGCTCCCGCCCCGCGTGCCCAGGAGCGCAGAACCAGATGTCGACGCACGCCGGCTACTACGGCGACCTGGTGGAGCGGGCGGCGGGCCTGAGCTCTTTGGCCACGGAGGAGATCGAACGGGACCTCCACCGCTCCATGCCCGAGCACCGAGCCTTCCAGAACGAGACGGGCATCGCCGCCTTGCGCCGCGTCCTCACCGCCTACGCCCACAGGAACCCGGGCATCGGCTACTGCCAGGTGGGTGGAGCTTCCGTACGGCCGGGCCGGGCGGAAGCGCGACTGACGCCGCGCTCCCGCAGGCCATGAACATCGTGACGTCGGTGCTGCTGCTCTACTGCACCGAGGAGGAGGCCTTCTGGCTGCTGGTGGCGCTGTGCGAACGCATGCTGCCGGACTACTACAACACCAGGGTCGTGGGTGGGTATGCCGGAAAACCCGTCGCTCGTACCCAGCGCCCGTCCAGCGGCGTTTCCGTCACCTCTGGCGACAAAGAAAGTTCTTCCCAAAGCACCGACCGTTAAGAGCGGCAGCGCTTGACCCGAGATCCCCTCCTTGGCCGATACGAACGCTTGAGATTCCCGGTCGCGGTTTGACGGAACCCAATTGGAAAAACAAAAAAAGTATTCTCGGAGCGCGCCGACGTTCTCCCTCATCCAGGTCCTTTCATTCTCCAAATGCCTCGACTCGCCCGTCCTCGTCCCTTCTTCTCCAAACACTTGAGTTGCCCTCGCGGCTGACCCGCGTGCGTTTGTAGGCGCTCTGGTGGACCAGGGGGTGTTTGAAGACCTGACCCAGGCCTTCCTGCCCCTCTTGTACGAGCACATGCGGGACCTGGGCGTCATCTCCACCATCAGCCTGTCGTGGTTCCTCACCCTCTTCCTGTCCGTCATGCCCTTTGACAGCGCCGTGCTCCTGGTCGACTGCTTCTTCTACGAGGGCATCAAAGTCATCTTCCAGGTAGGCCCGCCGCCGCCCTCGGCCGCCCCGCCGTCGGGGGCTCACGCTCCCCGTGCCGCTCGCAGGTGGCGCTGGCGGTGCTCCACGATAACATGGACGCCTTGTTGGCCTGCGGCGACGAGGGTGAAGCCATGACGGTCCTGGGAAGGTAGCCGTCGCCGTAGAGCGCCTAGTGTGCGGCGCCGCGCGCCGGCCGCCAGTTATGATGCGCGCCTGCCCGTTTAGGTACCTGGACCACGTGGTGAACAAGCAGATCGCCACGCCGCCCGTGCCCCACTTGCACGCCCTCCTCACCGGCGGAGACGAGCCGCCGCCCGAGATCGACATCTTCGACCTCATCAGGTCCTCCTACGAGGTCAGATCGCAATGATGATGATGACGGCCATGTCAGAAAAGGCCTCCTGAAGGCACAACTTTTCCACAGTCCCAATCTTAGTTGTTTCACTGCTAGGACTTTCCACTGCTACTTGTGCATCCCAAGCTTGTCCAAACTCGATATAACCAGTCCCGACTTCGCAGTCACACATGGCAAAAGTCTGGAAACGTTTTTTAGGCTGCGTCACGCCCGCGAGCATGTAGACCAGGTCAAGCCTAAAGTCAAAAGCTTGTGGGATGGCGAGACAGACTCCAGCGCAGAGGAGTCTGTCTCCCAGGCCGAGACGTTAATGGTCTTGGCGTCGTCGATGTTGGCAGAGCAGACATTGGGGGGAAAAGATTCAGCCAAAGTTTGGGTGTCACTGAACCCCGACTTGACAGGAAGCTCACAGAGTAAAAGGGAGGTCAAAATGCAAATGGCTTCTGAGGCAATATTCCCCCTTTGGGCTTCAACGAACCGACCGTCGAAACGCTTCCCCCTGTCCGAATGTGAGGATGCGGGAACGGTTGGGTCAGATGAACTTCAGATGGCGCACGCGGGCGGCGCGCCGCTAACGGCGCAAAGAAAGCACCGGCGGTGAAGCCAAACCGCCAACAATGGCGAGGCTCCGCAGAGCTCCGGCTAACCCGCCGCCGTTTGGCTGACTTGTGCGAGCAGAAGTTCGGCGGCCTTCGCTCCGACGTCATCGAGCAGATGAGGTTCAAGCAGAGGTTAAAGGTCATCCAGTCGCTGGAGGACACAACCAAACGGAGCGTGGTGAGCCGGGTCTCCAGCTAACGAGCTAACGGGCTGACAGCTAGCTTAAAGTGTTCTGCGCGCAGGTGCGAGCCATGATGACCGAGTCGGCCTTCGATATTGAGGAGCTGGAGGAGCTCTACTGCCTCTTTAAGGTGGGAGCCGCCGAGGTCGGCCGCTCGGCGTCACGGTGGCAGGCCTTTAAAGGCCCGCCCGCACTCCTTTCAGGCCCAGCACATGAGCAGCCGCTACTGGGGCTCCGGCGGCTTGGCGGCGGCGCGCCACGACCCCAGCCTGCCCTACCTGGAGCAGTACCGCATCGACGCCGCTCAGTTCTCGCAGCTTCTCTGCGCCCTGGCCGCCTGGCGCTGCGCCGGCCACGCCCCCGTCCTGGCCGCCCGACTCTTCAGGACCCTGGACCGCGACGGCGACGGCCTGGTCAACTTCAAGGAGCTGGTCACGGCGCTCAGTGAGTCGACCGAGGCCGCGCGGGCGACCTCCTGTAGCGCCTCACTCTCTGCGCCTTCCTTTGCAGGTGGGATGTACCACGGCGACATGACCGACAAGCTCAAGCTGCTCTACAAGCTCCACCTGCCGCCCGGTAAGGCTGGCCGCCTGTCTGTAGCTGCGTGGCGCTGTCCCGAATGGGGGTGACTGACTGACTGAGTGTGTGTGTGTGTGTGTTTGCCTGCGTGTGTGTGGGCCTGACCGTGAAGAGTCAAAACC